TGTTGAGCACGACCCAAACAACCAGTGGCCAACGTTTGTCCATCGCAAATGAAAGGCCGAATGGATTGTTCATAGGCGACAGACCAAACGCAGCATAGTCCGGAGTCATGTCAGTAGACGAGGTCAAAGGCTGGCAATCAGAATGGCGCCATTCAGTGGTCTGAATATGCTCCCATGGCATACGAGCTGGGCATGGCCAAGTCCAAATGCGAGAGTTGCTCAAAGAGAGGTCAAAGTCGGCCCACAGGGCAGAGTGCGCATCTCCATCAAACTGTGTGCCAACATCACATAGAAGCGTGGCGAGCTCCGGACTCACATAGACAAAGTCGATCCGGGTAGCGCCATGGTATGTGGCCGCAATCTCATGGCCAAATCGGTCAGCAGCGATATCTTGAATGTCACGCCACCCAGGAGATTGCCCAAAAGGAGAAGCTCAGGCAAGGTGTTGGCGTCCCCATTGTACTCTCCAGCCACAAAACGTGGTCCATGTTGTCCCCAGACCAAATGTTCAGTGAGGTGTGCAAGAAGACGATTGGTCCACTGCCGCGCATTGGGCCAGGTATAGGAGAAGTCGGCCAGCCATACACGGATGCACCCAAAATGGAACACGTAGAAGAAAGCATAAAGCGTGTCTGCATCACACGACCCTGGGTGAACTCACCGTCAGGCCAAGGGATTGTCCATGAAGTACCCGGCAAAGTAGCAAGTTGAGAGACTCCACTCCAAGTGCCAGTAGTCAATGAGCGAGGGCGCAATGCCAGCGGGTGCCCAAGAAAGACCGCGTATCATAGGGCCAAGGAGCAGTGAGGCGTTTCATCGTAGCCGGGAATGAACGAGAGGACGCAGACGAGAGATGTGTCTCAGTAAGGTTCCAAATGCCAGGGGCAAAGCCTAAAGACTTTAGATGATTCTTTGCCCGCCACACCACCGGTGTTCCAGGTACTAATCCGAAGCGGTCCTGGATGTAATGCTTCACCATAGCGCTGCCAAAACTGCAAAAAACATGCGCGAAATCCACTCAAATTCAACTGTACTAGACAAAGAGCAGACGCTAAACAATTCCACGAAATGGTAGAAAAAGGATGGCCCCAAAAAGCAATGCCCAGTACTACTCCCTGACTGGGAACGCCAATGGGCCCAAAGGCTCACCCTGCGCGACCTAGTCTGTGGTCTGCCTTCATCTTCTTGGAGAGCATGGACTCAATCTGCGCAAAGCCCTGCTGGAACTGGTCCTTGACCTATGTTCGGATGGAAAGTACCTCTGACTGAGTACGAGCCAGGCGCTCATTCATATCAGAGATCTTGTTGCCTGCGTCCTGAAACCAAGTTTCAAACTTGTCACCTTGATGGCACAGTGCTTGCACATCGGATTCCAAGCGAGAGATACGCTTGGAGGCATCATCTTGAAAGGTGTTGTCAACCTGCATCGATGAGGATATTTGTACATGAGCTGCACCTTCTGGACAGCAGCATTCAGTTCCGCCCGAATTCGCTGCTCGACTTGCTGAACTCGATCGGAAGAAGACGAGCCGGTGGCATTGGAGGCCGAAGCACTAGGTTGCCAAGCAGACCATGGGTCACGTGCATGGAGCCAAGGATCACTACGATCATCGCCTGCAGGAGGACCCTTGCGAAGCTGCCGACTGACCTTGGTAGAAGCATGAATGTCCGGAGCTGTCTGACTGGAGGCTTGGACAACTTGGTAATCAAGACATCACCATCAGGATGCTGAAGAACAGGTGCAGGAGGATCGCAAGAAGCTCCAACTTCCCACAGTTCAATCCTCGTGGCCCTCCATGTCGCGGCTGAAGGGGCTCACCAGTCCACTTCCGAGCCCTAAGCGTCTGAGTGAGCGAATGGCGTGAAGTGCCGTAGGGCAAAGGCGATAAGAGGTACACGGTGTCAAAGCGCATGAAGGAGCCGTCCTCGGTAGGCTTGAGCTGCTTGTGGACCTTCTCGGTTTGCGAGCGACCGCAATTGTCAATGGAGTGGTGTTGCGTTTGCACAAGATGTCCGGAAGTTCAAGGTCAGGCAACCAAATGGTCTCATAGGACGGATCAGGAGCACGTCCGTCACTGGTGCGAGGCTCCATGTAGAGGCCTGAGGTGCCAGAGTTGTTCTGCAATGTATCCGCTGCCGCCTTGGGAACCCTCACCAAGCAAGTAAAGCAAATAGCCAACTCAGGAGACGACTTGGCAAACTTGTCCGTAGTCCAGGCTCGAGCCCAGACGTCAAAGAGCACAGTCTCATAGCCCTCATCGCCAACTGGAGGATGGAAATGTTGGCAGACAGCACCACATGCTTTGGGCGAGCGACGCGCAACAAAATTGGGAAACTTGTCCATCAATTGGCGGATGGGAGCCTTGTTGAAGCTCTGCCAATCACCTTGCCACTGGTCTCGGTGAATCCATAATTTCAGGGTCTGAGTGTCGATGGTGGTCAATTTGAGCTCCTTGGCAGCAGGCCGATGCTTCACTGGCAACTTCCCAAGCTGAAGAAGTGAGCCATGAACCAAGATGCCTTCCTGTGCACAGGTATGCATGACGGGAAAGTCCAAGTCCACAATGGCCAAAGAAGCCCGCAGTTCAGCCGGAATGGGACCAACGGTCAAGGCGGCCAAGGGTTGGTCGGACAGGACCTGATCTTCCTTCAAGAAGGGCACGATATCCGCTACCTTGCACAGAGTGAGCCCACTGGCATCCCGCATTGAGCTCAGAGAAGTCTAAGCAAGCAACCGGTCGGTCTTTGTCATCAACGAAGCTGTCAGAAATCACCCGGAGCTGTGTCGGATCCAGGTGTGAGGCCTGCAAAGATTGCGCCGACTTGGTCTTCTGTGGCTTCTTGTGGGCCTCGGCGACCTGCTGCGTGGCCACTTTGCGTCGGATATGTTGAGGGTCTCAACTCCGAAGGGCAGAGCTCCAATGCCCATGCCTCCCATCCCAGCGCATAGCTCAACAGCGGAGCAAAAGGCACTAGAATCCAACGGATTCGGCTATCAAAGCCAAGGACAGCTGTCCAGAATGCTCCTGAATGCAGCCATGATACACCGTGGCCGTGGATGCCACTCCAAAGAAACCTTCAGGAACCATCATCTGAGATCCAAGGTGGCGAACAACGGCTCGACACCCCTGACCAGGTGTGCCCCGGTATCGGCCTACCAAGCCGCTCACGAAACATGGCGCAAAAACACGCGTCCCAAATCCCAAGCTTCAGCCGACTACACTCCACCCCTGTAAGGCCTTGGGCCGAGAGCTCTAACAACAAGGAACAAAATGCCACTCAGAACGTTGACGAGGCACAGCTGCATCGCTATCCACTTCAATCTCCATGATTGCCCCGCCCATGCCATGGATGTTCAACTTGACTTTCTCAACCGGCGCCTGGAGGATCACAGGTGTGTCGGCCTCAAGGAACCTGGGATCCAGACACTATCAGGTTGGTAGGTGCTGTAGTTGTGCAATGACGGTCTTTCCAACAGCAAGAAGGGTTTCGGTTCAACAGAGGTCATTGGCATTGACTCGGAGTTTGAATATCCTGCACTCCGAACTGCTGAAATATTACCTTTAATTGTGCCTCAACTTGGAGCTATGTGAATATAGATGTCTCCTTACCGCCCGAGGCACGGCTGTTGGCTTACATCTTCAAGCTCTTCAGACTCAGGCTCTTCAGGCGCAGGCTCTTCAGGCTCCTCCACCTCCGCTTCAGGCTCCTCCGCCTCTTCTCGGACGACCAGCTGCCGCTCCGCCTTGTAGACGGCGCTCGCACTGGCACCGCACCCCATGGGTCTTGGAGACTCCTTTCTGCTGGCAGAGCCAGTTGAGCTGCGAAGGTGTGAGCGGTCTCCTCTGAAAAGAGAGAAGCGTAGTAGTTTCTTGTTCCTAGTAGTAAGGCTAGGAGCCCCTAGTAGCATCCTTGCTCCTAGTAGTAAGGCCATGACCCACAGGTCAGGTCCTCTTCAAATCTAGATCTTTCAGCACACTAAAGAATTCTTCCAGGACTCAACGAAGGCTCACCGACATGTTCTGTTCACCGACACAAAACCTCGCGAAGCCGAGTGCATGCCTCCGGCGTCCACTCAAGTGACGATCGCTCCAACTCCTCCAGACCGGTCGAAGAACCAACTTCCATCGATTCCCCCATCCCGACTCACACTCCATGGCACTCCATGATTCACTGCGTCAAGTATTACCGGCTTTCAAATTTCAAGCAGTCGTTGTACTGCACCATGTGAAACTGCTTTCCCGTCCACAGGAAATTACTTCAGCATAGTCCCAGGGAGCAAAATATTTTTGTGGGCAGGACCTGAACAGGCTCCAAAGGGCACACGGCCATGCACATGAGAACTTGCCTTTTGAACTGGACCTATCATATCAGACTGAACCATGAACCCAAGCAGGGTCCTTTCTTCAAGGAAGTCATCTGCAATCAGTGATCATTTCAGGGAGTCCTCCCCATCGTTGTAGCACAGTTTCGGCTCACTACATAGCACTGGCACCAAAGGCGGTGGCACCGAAATGGAGAAGACACCCAACGAAAGAAGTCATGTCAAAAGTCGATCTATGGTTGGAATTCAATATGATGCTCTCGCATGCACCCTTGTGCTGCATTTTGTAGAGCCATAAGAATGAGAGTGCATCTTCCAATATCTTCCAGCTTCTGCAACAAAGAATCCACCCTTGGCCTTTACATTGCTGCACTGATAATTTGGTAATTGTACAAAACTAGACCAAGGGCTGCATATGAACCAAGGCTCCTCTTGATGTACTTTATTCAGCTGTTCATCTATATAATGCATTTTACCTTGCAGTATGGATCAATACGTAGACCAAAAAAATGTGGTGAATGAATGCTTCCACAAACTGTGTACAGGAACTCTTGGGGTGTGCATTGGAGGAACAGTCTTGACTCACAGCCACATGCAAAATTACAGACACGGACACGCAAGATCTACAGAGCCACTGGATGAGTGGGCGCCCAGTGTGCCGTGCAGCTGCTCGTTTTCACTGGACGGCACACCGGCACCGCGGCAGGTGTCGCCGGACGGCAGCGGGGTCGTCGCGGTTGGATGCTCGCAGCGGGGAGACTGGAGAGCTTGTCTCCTCGGGTGAAAGCACTGCGGAACACACCAGTCAGGTTATCAGCTTGTTCCACCACAAGAGGAAAACAGAAGACCCCTTTACTCCGGGCCTCTTTCAAGGGATCTCATTAAAGAAGCTCTTACCTTGCCTCTTTCTCCTTCTCTCTGTACCTCTCAGTGAAGAAGTCCGCAGAGGCAAATCCAGAATTCCAACAAAAACTGGGCGTGCTTGAACAAGCGCAAACGATCCCCACGTTGCCGGACGATTTATTCACAGGATATTGGTTACAACGTGTTCTCCGCTCTTCCTTTGGCCCAGTCTCCGGGGTTGGCGTTTTCACCTTCCGCATCTCCCACACCTCACGGGCCAGATACATGTTCAATCAAACTGCCATGGGTTTCTGCGCTTCTCACATGCTGGTCGATACCAAGTACAGTGTATGAATAGATGTATATATATATATACATAATTAGATATGAAAATAGTAACTAGTACAATTCGCGTGGACACCAACGAAAGGCCTCATCCAGTTCGTCGTCGGCAGAGATCTTCTCCGCAAAGCGCAGGTCCAGGTCATTGAGATCCTCAGAAGTTCGGGTCGACCAACGACGATTGTGATTCAACACGGCCACCCAGCCGGACACCCAAAGCAACCAGTTCACTCTTCACGTTCACTGCGTCAATGGGAGACCAGCAACTGAGGAGTTTGTACACTTCGATGTGCCCTGTATTGTCGGTTTCCAAAACTGGTAGGGCAAGCAGCCAGCTTTGATTCACAAACTTCATACTCCAAGACTAGGTCCCACCTCACAACACCCTTGCGCCAGGTTGCAACGCGAAGGTCGAAGCTCAAGACACTTGAAGTATCACTATGTACCTGGATAGCTGGAGCTCAAGCTGTACTATATAAGCCACTCAATACCCAAGAGAGCGCTATCCCATTATGTGGGCAGCAAATGACTTCCTTGCGGGTCCCAGCGTGGGCTCCGAGAGGTGAACCAAGCTAGATAGATATCTTTTGTAGGCACTTTCCCACACCAGGTGTTGCAGGCAGCGATTCTCTCACACCTGACTCATGCCCTTGTGGGCAGAGAGCTAGGCTCAGACAGAGCAAAAGCTGCCCATGCAAAAAACACACACAAAAAGAATAGGCGAATCCTTCATGCTGCTCAGGGACATCTTCATTTCGAGCTGCAGACCAGCCCGACCAATGGTGTAGTCCACCTAGCCCGGCCGAGAGAAAGACCGACACAAGTGTTGTGGGGACTTTGTGCCCATCACACCTGTTACAAAGATCTCTCTCCCAGACAAGTACTGATGCAAGACCATGCACTCTAAAGTCCGCTTGCCCTGCAAATGACCCAAGAATACCAGTCCCATACGTGAACAACTAACAGCATCCTTAACGAGTCTCATTTGTGTTTCTTGCGGCCAACTCTTTGCTGTATTTGGCCAGGGAAATGGTTGCCGTTCTTCCAAGCGGTCGGCAGCTTGCAAAAAGATGGTTGGTTGTCAAAGACGTCAAAGGAAGCCATGTGTCTTTACCTATCTACCTTCTCTGCCTTCATCTTAGACTTGTTGAGATGACAATGGTAAACCACGCAGGACAAAGAACAATGCCAAGAATAAGTCGTCCTTGTTTCTGATTGCTATGTGAACATGAGAAAACAGCTTAGCAGGCTTAGCACTAGTCCAGCAAATACGCCAAGCTTCGCCTCCGGCACGTCCCTATGCCCTAGGCACCTGAGCGCTCAGGCCCTTTGGGTTCAAAGTGGGAAGAAGGCGGCACCCAATGGCCACCAAGGCCACCGGTCTTGTCCCGCTCCCTCTCCTGGACAAAGTGATCAGATTCCACCTCATGAAGCCGTAATCATAGCAGCGACACGGATTCACCTTCAGCTCAACAGCTGTTTTCCAAACAAAATCAAAGACACCTAGTAACACGGCGCTCTAACTCCCAAGCAGCCAAGCGAAACTACCCACCTTGCGGCTCTCTTCCGCCTCCCGTTCCTTTTTCTTCTCCTTTCCACCAAACCGGCTGCAGAACTGGGACCCGAATCTCTACTCCAACTCAGCGACGCAATACAACGACCTTTTGCCTGTCAAATGGTTTGATATTTGGTTACAGTCTGTTATGGTTTGATATTTGTAGGCCTAGAATCCATGTGCACATCTAAAGAGAGAGAGAGAGAGAGGCAATCTGTTGCCTTGCAGAAACATAGGGAATGTACGTACTTGAATCTGGTGTTGCATCTTTGTCTAGTGACTAGTGTTAAGAGTTAAGAATGCACCTTCCAATTCCCAATGCTGCGAAGTCTATTCTATATCGTTCACAATATTTTTAGTCCGTTGCATGCCTTTGATATTTGATGGGCCAAGGGGGACCATGTCCCAATTCCACTCCAAACCCATCTGCTCGAGCCCTGCTGCTCACCTGCTGCTTCGCTCGTCTCAACTCTTCACGGAAACGACGCTCCTCAGTTTGTCCCGACGAAAGCGGAGAATCTTCAAGAAGCATCCAGCCCTTCACTCATCTCATATCAGACTCGACTCATATCAGATAATCAGCACCCTCAACTTCTGGCGTGACAAGCACGTGTAAAACCCAACATATGAAGCAGCAACATGGGATTCTGCAACCCGTCCTCCTCCTCCTTTGTATCCGCTTGTGGCGGCACCGGCGCACCCGGTTGCCCTCTCGCTGGGCGAGGCCTCTGGGGCACCTGCTGCGAGGTTGTACTTGGGGTGATGTGCAGGTAGACAAGTCGATTCTGCCGGAAGATGATGTGAAAGCACGTAGAAAGGCTTACGATTTGGGAACCTTGTTGGGTCTGAGCGTTTGTGTCAGCACAACATCTACAGAATCTACAGCATCCGATTTTGACCCTAGGACGCTACTAGGGGCTCCTGGCCTTACTACTAGGAACAAGAAGCTACTAGGAGCAAAGGGCATCGCTACTAGGAGCAAGGACGCTACTAGTAGCTCCGCCTTACTACTAGGAGCATTCTTGCTACTAGGGGATCCTGGCATCGCTACTAGGAGCAACCAAGCACCCGATGTAGAGCCCAATCGTGGCCCAACCTCCTGAGCTGCTGCACGCTCGGCATCGTAGTGGGCGCGCTTCTCAGGGTCACCGAGAACTTCCCAGGCCTTCGCAACCTTCCCGAGCAACGAGAGTTCCGGAGAAAGGCCCAAAGGACGGGCGGCTAAAATCCTCTTGTTTGCTTTGTCCTGCTTTGACTCTTCGCTCTGTCCCCTTTTCCTGTTCGTATTCCTTGTCCCTCTACTCTCCTACAAGAGTGACAGCGCCCAAGAGATGTGCTGACAACAAAGACAAACAAACAGACCCAGAGAGAGAGACAGACAGAGAGACAGAGAGAATGACACAGACAAACAGACACAAAGAGAGAGAGAGAGAGGGACACACACACACACAAAGCGAGTCTTCTTCATTGGCCGCACCTGCTGAAACCGCTGCTTTGCTCGAAGCTGTTCAGCCTCAGAGCTGCCCTGAGGTAGCTTGTCTGGGTGCACCTGTCAGGAGGCTTCACAGAAAAGACAGGCCTTTGTGGCACACAAGCGTTGAGGTCAGGCCAGCCAACCATGAGTGGTGGGCCCACCAATCATGAGTGGTTGGCCCTGCTCACAGCAGGGTTATACCAAAAGACCTATTCATCACCCGCTCGGACTACAGCCAAAAACCGGGTCGTGCTTGACTCAAGCTTCCCCAAGGAGCGGGTTGAAAAAGAGCAAATGCTGCAAATCACAAGGGAGTTCAACTCTCATATAGACTGCTCCAGAATTTCCCGCATCGGGCTGGATCGAATCTTTGAGTTGTTCGTCCGTTCACGTCTGCTCGCACCTTCCGCGCAAGCTGCCGGAAGGCCTGGTCGGTTAGAAGCTCGGTTAGCGAGGCGGTCACAGCTTTTGGCGCAGGGAATTTAGACCAGGACATACATGCTCCACACACATGCACCACACAGGCGCTTTCACGTAAGGTCTCAAAAACACTGCTCTTTGCCACCTAACCAATTGGCGCCTTGGATTTATCTCTTCTATCTTCCCTTTCCACGACAAATCCTGCCTTGCCGATGTCCTTCGCTGAGGAAGCGGGGTCGACGCCCAGCAGTTTGTAGTAGTCCTGCAGGCAAGCAGACAGGCAGGCAGGCAGGCAGCACACGTGATCTACGTCTATATACATTAACAACAAACAAGACCAAATCGAGCTAGGCAGACAGTACACTGAGAGCGATTACGTTCTCTTTGTCACTTGTCGAAAATCCCTGGTTGGACTGGGTTTGCTAGCACGAAAAACAAAGACTGACTACTATATAAACCCGCCTAGTGTCTGGTTCGGTTCTTGGAATAAGCGGGCCCTCTGGCAGGTAGACAATCATCCAAAAGGGAGTGTCTCACAACGGAGAGTACCCTCTCCATCTACTGGTTTCTCTATGAGTCTAGTCTTGCCTTTCTCAAGCATTGTTCTTCCGCCGATCTAATTCGTCTGGACACTCCAGATCAAAGCCGAGGCACGGAACTCTCCATACTCCGCGTCAGGCACAACCCACGGTTGGCTCATCACATGGGTCGAGACCGAGCCTCGTTTCAGACACTTCGACCCAAAGGAACCACGTGTCAAAAACGAAGACTAATAGCTTCTTGTTACTACTAGTAAGGCACTTGTTACTAGAAGCGATGCACTTGTTACTAATAGCTTCTTGTTCCTAGGCTGTATCATGTTGTATCTGAGAAACTGTGGACCCAGAAAAAGAAAGAGATGCCAAACATTCCATATCTGCAATCTCCGTGTTCAGCATGTTTGCAAGTCAGCCAATTCTAAGTTGGGCCTGCAATGGCCATCAAGCCAATGGAAAAACAAGTGAAAAACTACAAAAACCCTGGACCTATGACATGCAGAATCCATGATGGAGGATAGCCTGCTGGTTTGCTGATGGTGTTTCTTTGCCAGCTCAAACCCACCGCCTTTCAACATGTGTTGCTGACTGCATGACTGCATGACCAACCCAGTTGATTGTCGATTGTGAGGAAATGAAATAGTGATCGTGCAGTTTGAGTTCAAAATGCACAAGCACCTATTCCTTCAGCACAGAAACAGCTGCATAGTCACATCGAATTCACAACCCCCCCTCGATTTTCGTTGCAAAGAAAAGAAGAACATGGCATGTCGCCGCCATCTTCGTGGTTTCAGCCACACAAACACCCCCGCCACGGCTCTTTTTGGGGCGGTCTTTCGCCGCTTCTGTGGGCTTGTCCTCATCGCGGTGTGGGAACCTCACACAAAGCTCGCCTACACACCGTGCGAGGTGAGGTGATGATGAGGGTCTTCCGCAGCCCAACAGCAGAGCAGGACCCAAACAGGACCCAAACAGTGAGCCGAACAGTGAGCCGAACGAGCCTGAGTCCTTCCTGTGGGCCGCCGAGGCCCCTTGGGCACCTCCCAGGGTCACCTCAGAGGTTCAGATTCACCAAGCTGGACTCCCTCTGGAGCAAACCATCACACATCATGTCCGTCGCAACGTAGCGGCTTAAAACTCAAAACATAGCGGCTTCAGGAAGCAAGGCACAAAGTCCTCGACCTTGTGGCTACAAACCTGCGCGCGATTCGCTGGGAGAGGCCGGACAGGCTTGTTTGCAAAGACGAGTTTGGCAGCATACCCTGTGATTATTTGAACAACCAAATGACGGACCAAACTAGAATTGTCAATCTGAGGAACTGCAGCAGAAGAATTGGGCAAGGTCACTGAGGTACACTTGGTCATTCAAGTCACACTTGCCAGACCTCATTCAAAAGCGTTCCTGTCTGGTGAGGCAAGTGTAGTAGTGCTCCTGTCCGGTCCGCATGTGTTTTCGTGGTTCCTCATCCGCTGGCCTCACAGAACCGCACTTCGTCACTCAGTTCTGCTGCAGCCTGCTTTGGTCAGAGCTTCCAACATTACTTGGGAGGACCTATTTTCTGGAGACACGGTCTTCCTGTGTCGTTGATCCCATTTGTGAAAGCTCTCCCAGAAAAAGACACGTTCAACGCGCTCCTATGGCTCTACCGTCCGCGCTTCGACTGCCTTCAACGAATTTCTGCTTCTCTGACTATTCGCTTCTCCGTCTGGTCCCTTCCCATGTTTCTGCTCAACCGCACCTGGGAGATGACGCAGCCACCTTGGTCCCGATCAAAATGGTACCAACTTTCAGCTCCAGCTCCTGTGCATCCACATTGATTATGATGCTGTCCCTGACGGACAAACCCCCAAGGGAACCGCACAAAACTGGACTCAACTCTTTCTGAAGCTGTATCCTCTTGCATTGGGTTCCCCTGCAAGGTCTTAGAACTCGTGCCCACCTCCCTTTTGCTAGGTCGTCACCTGAGCTTGTAACATCTGCAGTAGCAAGTGGCACCTCTGACGGAAAAAGAGTTGGGAGCCGGACCGGTCACTGGACAGAGGAGCATCCCATCCAAACGCCTAGCAAGCTGCACAACTTGGTATCTCAAGAAGTCAAACAGTCAATACAATACACGGGAGCAAAACAAAAAGACTCCAACAAAAGGTACCTTGCGAAATGTCTGGCACATGGTTGTCCCCCGTCCCAACCACCCCAGAGAAATCGGAAGACAAACGCAGCAAACCCCGCCATGCTGGACCCGGTCGGAGACGGACCAAATAGCAAAGGGGCGGATTGGCCAAGGCGTAAGCAACAATGAACCCAACCACAAGGTTTCGCACGCCACCAAAGAGTCCTAAAATGCGTACCTGTACCCTCTATAGACTCTATAGTATACCCTTCTGGTGGTTCTCTGGTTCTCTACGTCGACTCCTTGCTTTCCATGCCTGAAGTTGCAGTTGAAGACATCTTTCAGCGACCCCACGTGGGAGAGGTGCAGTGGCAACTGGGCGCAGGAGTGAAAGCAAACAAGTTCAACGATAGAATCTCGCCCTATGAGTTGCACACAGTCGTCAGTTCTCACCTGCTATGTATATATGCATTATAATCACGTGTGCTATGTTTTTCTTTATCTGTTTCGTGTTTGTTGTTATTTTATGTTTGTCAATATAAATATGGCGTACGTTGATGCGAGCCCCTCTTGAAGGCTCATGGCGTCAATTCTGCTTGTCTTCCCTCTTATGCGAAAATAACTCTTGTGTCTCCTTCCAACGCTTGGTGGGCTGTTGACTTGCCAAGACACCCTCTTCTTGAGCAGGGCCAGTAGTAAGTCCTCGAGAGCACAGAATCAGACCGATGTCGGATCAAATTGGGCATGCTGAGCGAACTTGTGGTTCGAAAAGCTACATCTTGAGTGTGAACACCCTGATCTGCTGAGCAGGCACAGGAGGAAATATGTCACAACCCCTTGCAGCTCCTCCTTGAGAAACAGGTTGCCTCTGATGTCGCAAACTACCTGCGATGGAGAGCAAATGTTCTAAGCCATTCTAAATTTCACACAATGGCCCACGGTTCTAGTTACAACATTTAACTTGTCGAACTTGGTTCTTTCAACAGCTGGGTCCCCCTGCTGGGCCAAGCAGTGGTGAGTGGCTCAGGGCACAACGGAGCCTCGGCACCAACGGAGCGTTCGTGCACCAAACATGTGCAGAGTTGGTCCCAAAACATGAAGAGACATGAGTTCGTCACCACACTCAAAGGTAAGACATGTCCTCATGTCGTGACCATCACCATCACCTGAGACATGGACCATACAGGCGTGCCATCATCGGCAAAGGGGTCATCCCTCACTCGGCCTTCGAATGAAGGGAGCGCAAGGTCAAAGCCCAAAGTCCTGTTGAAGAGAAGACGCTACATGACTCTAAGAATGCTGGAAGACTGTGAGCGTTTGCAAGCAGCTGCCATGGTCCTCTTGCTTGGCTCTCCCAGCTACCATTGATGGGGCAAATCCGGCAACACCCCGTGGCGATTGAAGCAACCGCTCTCCACTCCGCTGGCCATTGGATTTGCTGATGATGTAACACTGGTCTTGGATGACTGGCCTGAGGACTTGATCAAGTCATCCCGGCCGTTGATGATCGATGTGGGCCTGGGCGCCAAACTTGGTCAGTTTCGTGCACACCAGAGACCGAGCAACGTGTACGAATCATCGGGGAGGCAGGAATCTCTTGATGGTTTTCAGAAGACTCTGCTGCCAAAAGGTAGATAGGTAGGTGGTGTGAGAAACCTCCGGCAAAGCGTTCTTGGCTGTCAGTTGCTTGTGGTCGTTTCACCCGCACTTGCTCAAACCCCTCACAAAGGCTTCCAAATGTCAAGGTTCAAGGTGTCTTTTGATATCTTTGATGTTGCTCTTTACATTCATCTCCCTTCCCCACCTGGCATACCATTCGGTACCTACGTCGCTGAATGACATGGCACCATGGCTTCAGCTGGAGGATTGTCGAGTCCTCCCAAGATTTGATATGGGGATGCGTCTTTGATCCAGACTGGTAATGGGCAAGCTGGCAATCGACTCAACTATGCAAGGATAGCCAGACTGGGGAAAAAAAGTTGGTTGAAATCCAAGCTGTTGCCGAACAAAACCCTGTTTGCTCGTGAATATTTTGCTTGAAGCGGCCCTTGTCCTTCTTAATCGACTGCACTCACTTCGTGAAGGTTGCACACGTCCTTTCTTTCACCACTCAAAAGGCAAAGCAGTGCAGAACTTTTATGCATTCTACATGCTCCGCTCGGCAAATTCGCTAAAAGCCACCTCTTTGTGCTTTTGTGCTCGTGTGCTCCGTCTCAACGCACCTTTTCTCATTCGCTTCTCAGACACCCTTGAGCGCCCTAGCGCTTCTGCTGTCAACTGACACAAGTTGGCCGTGTTGCTCATGTTCCTCCAAGGGCTTGACATGCAAAGCCAATCACAACCAATCAACATGTTGGCTAACAAGTTCATGCCAAGAACAACAAATCACTATGTTCTGCATGTCTGAAGCTGGGAGGGAAGCAAAAAGACGCTGGCACCTCCGACCTGGTGTCACAATCGTCGACATGGAACGACCAGCAAGGCATGCGCTGAAAGTTTCACCACGCCTTTTGACGTTGAAAAGAATGTATTCAGTGATACAGTAAAGATCCTACACAAGAGCAAACCTGTGACGTGGGAAATTCCACAACAGCTGGGTTTTGGCACATGTCTAACTGCGGATGGGTCCAACCCATGCATATGTATCGGACACACAAGGTTGAGACCACGATGTTTATAAGTCTAACCTGACTCTTGGCATACCGAAATCAAAGAACAAAACACTGCAAAGCCATGAGCTGAAATGAGGCAAACACGGTCTCAACCTCCTAGGTCCTGAGCCACAAAACTTGCCATCGCAAGTAGCTGTGTGACATTGCCTTGTGACATCACGATGAGCACATGCGACTGACATTCCGAAGGTATGGAATTGGCTCTCACAACTGCTGCATGAACCGCACCCCAAAAGGCGCCGGTTGATGCCAGGACTGATCTTCCTTTCGGTTCTGAAAGCAAGCTCTACAATTCAGACGGGCTGGTGAGACGGCTTCCCCGCAAAACACTGCGTCAGGGTCCAAGAGGTCCCTGGACTCCCAGCAGTCTCCTCCACTTCCCACTTTTGCTAGGCCTAGAGAGGCCTTACTGCCGTTTCTGCAACCAACATGGGGGAAGCCGCTTCTGGTCTGGGAGCCCCTTTGGGGCGATGCGGCCGAGAGTGTCGAGACGCTGTCGATGAGCTGTCGATGTCTACCACCAATCTATCTACATAATCTGTTCATGATTCTGCCAGCTTTGATTGTAGATCGATAGAATACACGGCACAAGCAGCTTGCTCAAGTACCTGTTCTTGTGTCGGACAAACTTGGCTCCTCATACCCTCTCTGTGTCTCCAAACAAAAAGGGACAACACTTGAAGTTGGCTGATGCAGGCTGACGAATAGACCCCAAAGTGGACCGTGAATCCCCAGCTGGACCAAACACACTACCATCCTCGACGATCGATTATATAATCTTCTCATGGTAATTGTGCAACAATGAGCAACCAATTATTCTGGTCTACGACGCTCTCTGCACGTGATGAGCTAGCTACATGAGGGCTTTTTTGCGATGTGCTCTTCAGAGCGCAGAAGCCCAAAGCAACGGCTCAGCCGCCAAGCGCGAGACCATCTTTGTCAAGACCTGGGCCAAAACGGACCGAGTTGAAAAAATATCTCTACACCTTGGCTTCCGTGAAACCGGGATCGTTATGGCAAGTATGAGGCTTGATGCAAGGGTCTACGTGACATGGTGGAAAGCACACACGACTTTCAGGAAGTCAAAAAAGCTCTCAACAGGTCCAAAGTGTCTGTGTGTCATTTGGACAGGATCCAATCCAACAAACATGTCATCCAACATCAAAATACTCTGGCTTCTTTGAAAGGTCGAGTGACGCCAGCCACGAAGAGGCTAGCCATATTCACGGACTCAGACCTTCTAGCCTCAGTACACAGAGTCTCCCCTAAAACTCGAAAGTCCAGCTCTCTTCAAAACCCAAACGATCGTAAGATGGCTCAGCAGAAGTAAGCTTGCCAGCAATCGAAACATGCCGACTCAGTCACATCAAGAAGTTCGTTGTCGTGCTTAACATGTTGAAACGACAGGTCTCTTTGAGTGTGTTTTCACATCCACCCTATCTTCATAGCACTCTTTTTTAGGCCTCTGACAGTCATGACATCCCAAGGCCTCGATCAGCGTTGTGACTGAGACCTTCTGACCCTTTCGGATATTTATTGTGATTCGTTTGATTCAATTCATGTCATCACTTCACAGACTTTACAGCTTGGAATTCTTGGGAACCTTGGGGAATGATATCTTTTTTTGAGCCTGTGGGGAGGTAGGCCAGGACGAGGCTCAAGCAAGCTACAGGAACAAGTAAGGGGCAAGAAGTAGCAAGGAAGCTACTGGGCTGGGACGCAGAAGGGCTCAGGTTTAATGATTTGGTTGCTATATAGATATTTGTGGAAACTTAACCTTATTTGGCCCACTGATACAACGAAGCAAGCCATGTGCCACACTCTCGGTCATCGCAAAGGTGCATCCGCTTGTCCGCCTATATTTGGAGATCGCTATGGGGCCCAAGCCAGCTGAGATCGTGGGCACCTTCCTGCATCTCAGCAGAATCCTCACAGCCTCGGACGGGGAAATGTCCAAAGTCAAGAACTCAAAAGAATGGAAACACTCTCACTATGAAACACTCCAGCAAACTTGCAACCTGTGCGGCATTGAGAGTCCCTGCCTTCTCTTTGGGTCAGAAAGAGGGCTAGAAGCACTGCCTTGGTTGGGCATTTCACGTTACATGGGTGGCTTCTCAATTTTCAAGCGCACCCACCTGATGATCAACCATCTCCTTGTGACAGCATTTGCTCCGAGCGGCTGAGCTCAGCAGGATCAACATGAAGCGTCTTGACTTTCCAGGCCATCGCAAGCACCAGCTCATCCGGCTTCAATCTTGGCGGATGGCGTCGAGGCACTTGGTTGGGTGGTTGTTTAAGGTATGTGAAAGTGCGAGGTGTGAAGGGAAGTCTTCGGAAGTCTTCAATTTTGAAAAGCACCCTGGACGGCCGCTGAGTCTGGCTCCACCCAGAAACTTGGGCCAAGCAAGTGGACACCCAAACTGAGGCTCTAGCATCGAATCAAACTACCTCAGAGTGATTGCAGATTGGGAGATGGTGAGGCTAAACATAGAGGCAGTGTGTCAGCTCCGTCAACTTATCCAAGTCGTGACAGTCATACATCACTTGAAGCTCTCACAAACACTGCCCAGTATGCCCATCACAATGAACCATCTGAACACATAGGCGAAGAATCTATGCGCCGCTTAGGGGCTTTCGGTATCGGATTCTACCTGTCACCTTTTGACTCACATCTGCGTGTCCACCAAGAGAGGACAACGCTAAGAGCCGCATGTGGCGACGGAAAAAGAGTTCTGAGCAAACGATACGCCACAGACCTGAGGTCCAATCCGAAAGAAACAAACAACAACAACGAGATGAGAGATTCAGGCTTAACCCAACAGACCTTTTTCCCTTAACCATGACAAGAAAGTCATGGTTAAGTACATGTCTCAAAAGAAGACTTTTCCATCCTCCATCCAAACACATCAGTGTTCTGCTGCAACTCTGACGCAACTTTGTGCAGCACTTCTGATCCTTGGGCGGAAAACTATGTAAAAAGTGCACTGTCGCAACAGCTTCAGCCCACTTCTATTGCAAACTTATTGCCAGGTCCCCATGTCATGCTTGTCAAACCACTGTTTCGGCCCATTTTGCCAAGACAATGTGACAGCGGTGGGAGACGCAGCATCTGCAAAGCTGTTCCTCTGGCATCTCCCGAAACTTTGTCTGTTTGGGCTCATCCACACCACAAATGGCGACTTGGAACCATGTTTAAAAAGAACTGGCAGCTCGCACTGTTGGGCTTCCACATGCTTCCATGGATTTGCAAGTCTTTCACATCCACTTTGCACCAGTCGGCGGTTGAGCTTTGCCAGCCTATGACACTACAGAGTCAGGCATCGCCTCACACAGGCAAACAGCTGCTCGGATGACCGCCAATGCGGCTAAGCTAGAAAGCGGCACTGAGTGAGTTGCTGCAATGATGAAAGTCACGAGTTACAATATGTTTGCTTGGGTGCTCAACTACTTGCAAGTCCTTTCCATGCAGCGAGTTCTTCCCCACTGCCCACCTTCGCGGTGCAAGGCCCTGCAGAGGTCATGAAGGGCGACTCCTTAAAACACACCTGGGGTCTTTTGCATGTGCGAAGAAAGTACTCTGAAGGCTGCGGAACAGCAAAAGTCTGTGCACAGTGGGACCAATGAAATGATACAACCGGAAGAATATGACAAGTTGCTCATGTCTAGAAATCAGGCTTGGGCCCCAAACTGTGCCTTCTCCATTGGTCTTCAGTTCGCCTGCCACCTCAGATTTGGCTGCTTGTCTGATACACTCCTGCTACACTTACTTGAGGCCAAGGGGGGGGCGAAAGCTAGCGCTCCAGAAGGGGAAAGTGGAGGGCAGCGAGGTAGGAAAAAACACGGCGCTCTTTTTGGAGGCAGTCGCACGGAGTAGCAGAAGGCAGGACGCCTTGCACAAGTTGGGCGGGGCAAACGATTCCAGGTGAAGAGTCCTTTATATGTGGCTCTTTGCCCGGATCCTCCTG